TCCAATGGCTTGCAAAACGACCGTGTTGTTTAATCCTATGCTTTAAACGGACACACTCCATGCATGTTAACTATTGAAACACGTACTGTAAATGGCCGTATATAAGTTTCGAGTTTGTTACATTCCACAAACTTTATCTAAACCCCTAATAGACCCAGGTATAACACACAACTAAAAGTTTATGCCGTAAAAAGGAATTTTTAAAGTGCATACAAATCTTGCATTTATAATAGATAATCTAGATTGTTCTAATATTAAAGGCTATATCTAATACGAACCATGAGATTGAGGTTTCTAATAGAATTTTACCATTTTCCCATCTACTAAAGTATTCTTTAAAATCCCGAATATACATATGATTAAAAATTTAATTGACTTTTAAGAGTCTTTTTATGCAATATAATTTCTTGCCTTCCATGTGTCATTAGGTGCATCTATGACACAAACAAGCCTATCTTTTTTGTTCAAAGTACCTTCAAAGTTTAATACGACATCAATATCATGAACTGCTTTTCGACATTATCCAAGCCGAAAATATAATCCTATAACCGCAGGAATTGCACCGAGTACCAATACTATTCGCCATACACAATCAATATACATGGGATCTCTGTTTATGGAATCCCTGTATGTGCCATAGCTGCCGCCGAAATTACACCTGCGGTCAAAATTCCGAATCCTTGCATGGCAAAGACGGCAGACACCATTGCCTGAATAAAATAGTTGTAAAATTAGAATTTTTTTTTAAAAAAAAAAAATTTTTTGGATATTTGAAAATCAAATTATTAAGCTTCACGTACACCTCTTCTCGTAACCATCGCAAATTCACTCGTAATAACAAAATATTAAAAACGGATGTTAATATCAAGTATGAGATACTTTATAAAAAATTCGTAAAAAATATTTACTAGCAGATGCAAGACAACCTCCTCCAATTCCAATACTCAATATGAATCGCCAAAATATAAGTGAGCCCCAAGTCATGATCGTAAACGAATTTGAGGACATTGCATACCGATAGTTGCGATGATAAAAGTCCCAGACCGTAGATCTGTGCCAATATGATTAATAAATTTAACTAACACCTATTAAATGAAAAACATAAATGACGCGTATTTACTTTTCTACGTCCAAAGTGATCAGCAAACCAGCCAAAATGCCAATTGACCTATTAAAGTCCCACACAATGTCGACATTTTTATACCCATGTGCATAGTGTTATCATGACCCAGGTCGGTATAGCTTAACATGGCAGCAACAAAATTTATAACAATAGATCATAAGCGTCTGTAAAGAAGCCAATACCAGCTATATACCATACATACTCTAATGTGAAACCATCCAAAATCAGCACTATCTATTTGGTTAAGATTTCTTTGACGTCTGTTAAGTTCATGAATTAAAATCTGTAGATTTTTGATGTTGAATAAGAATCATCTGGATCGAGTAAATCAACATTTGTTTTGGTTGCACATGCTCTAAATTATAAATATATAATTTGGAATTGCTCAAGTTGATATTGAAAAAACAACCAATTATTTTTCTTAATATACATTCTATATAGATTGTAATAAGTTATGCGTTTCACAAGAGTAATGCTACTTATTGCTATGTTTTGTCGTAAGCACATATAAGGCGGTTACCTGGTAAGAATTTAAAATTTTCTCAATTAATTCTTGCATTAAAATAAACAAGGATCTTAATTTATCAAATTGTATTAACAGTACCCCTGGTAAATTAAATCACTAAAGCGGACTAAAGCGGACTACGCGGAGTAAACCAAAGTTACGTTTCTGATGTGTTTAGAGTTACTTTTTTGATAATTTTACGAGTAACGAGTAATTAAAGTAAGGTAAGTAAACTATTTTAATTAAAATTTTGCTTGTAAAAAAACTTTGGAGCATTTTTTTAACTAAATCACCACTATATACAGCATGAGAACGGTCAAATCAAGGGATTGGAACCGCCCAAAATTTTCTTAATCGTATCAACTGATTAATTTGACCTGCACTGAGATAGCTGTTTAATCGTACATCGATATAAATATATATGAATATTAATTTGACCGCTCTCATTAGGGATAACAAATGTTATTTATTTTAAAAAGTTTGTTTAAATTTGGATAATACGATTATTGGGTACCTCCAAGAAAGGCGTCATATTATTGTTCATATCGATGGAACCAGAAAATTTATAAGTTTTCCAAAAACACAATATCTAAGAACCATAGTGTACTTGAAATTAAGAACCAAAAAAGTTTATGATGATATATCAAACAATGTTATCGATGAGACCATTGATGAAGCGATCAAAAACTATAATGCTAAACCAAAAGGTTCAAAATTATCATATAAATCCAAAAAAGATTTGAAACACACAATTATTATCCGTACTCAAAATTTTTCAAAAAAAGAATGGAATCGATTTTACGAATCATATTTATTTAATAATTCTATGAAAACACCGAGAAAAAAAATCATATAACATTGAAGAAAATGCAAGAGATTTAAGACCTTGTCATTTCGAAAAAACAACATTTGGCCAACAGAAAAGATCAATAACGATTGTAAGCTCACATATTTTAGAAAAACCAACGAGTGGATCCTTTCCTGGGTTCATGAACGACAAAAAGAGGCGAAGAAAACACATGAAATGTTCGTGGTCATCGATCCAGGAAATAAAATTGTAGAATTTTGATCATGTGATATTAATATATGTGTATTATTTTATCTCTCCTCCCCTTGTTAGAACCCCATTCACCACATACTCACCATCCGAAGGTACTTGTGAAATAGGAAAAACCAATTCTCAAAGATTAATAAGATTACTTATCATGCCGACAAACTAAGCTCTAAAAGGGATAAATTAAAGGATTCCAGTTCTAAAAGGAAGAAAAAGAAGGCTATAAGGATTGATAAAGCTATATCCCGAATATTTCGAAAAATTAAAAATTTAAAAAATGAACTTCACAAGAAAACGGTAAATTATCTCGTAAAGAATCATGACGTGGTTATAATTCAGAATTCGGTGTAACATGATGAAAAGGGAAAAAAGAAAGATCCACTCCAAGGTTGTGAGAAGTATGTTAACATGGTCACACTATATGTTTAGACTCATCGAGCTCATTATACTCATTATATTCATGTAGCAATATCTATTGAAAATTTTAATCACAAATTTTTTGGCTTTATTTTTATATCAGATACATTAAAGGTTCTTTCTACGTTCTTATACGTAATTTATTTATTTTTTTTAAAAAAAAATTTTGCTCTAAATATAACTTAAAATGGAGACGATTTATTGATTTATTTTTTAATTTATGGTATGTTCTAACATTAAACAACACGATATTTGAGGACATAGCACCCTTTTATCTCAAGAAAATATTTTTGTTTCTGTCTTTACAACTTTATAAAGAAAGATTACGAATTAATGTAAACGACATTTGATATGAAACATTTGGAAGCTATTACGAATAATAATTCATAAATTAATGCATAGAAATTGTATTTACATAATTAAATTTATAATCATATATAATTAGAATATTAGCCACTGGATTTACGCTTGTGTTTTCTATTAACGTTAACAACTATTTGCGGATGCTCATTTGATAATTTCTCTAGCGTTTTTCCACACGTCTCAGGTATCAATAATGTTGAAAAAATTCCAAAAAACATAAAGCATGCAAAGATTAGGATTAAGCGATCCACAAAGTTGTTCGTACCACCGATATCTTTAAGTTGAAAGAATCCTACTTGTGCTATAATTGCACCTAATTTTCCGGATGCAGCTGATATACCATGTCCTGTGGATCTATATCTTGTAGGAAAAACTTCACTTGGCACGACAAATGTAGTTGCATTAGGTCCAAAATTTTGAAATAACTAATACAGTAAAAAAAGTTAAATTAGTTGAAAATATTTAAAATATTTGAATGATAGAAAAAAAACCAAATAGATTAATATTAACCTGGCATAATGAGAATACTATAATGAATATTGCCATGTGTTGTTTTATAAGTTGATAACCAAATCCCCAAATCAAAAATAGCCCAGTGAGAATTATAAATCCCATTAATTGGATCTTTTTACGACCCCACTTATCTATTAAAAAAACGGTACACCAATACCCTGGAATCGTGCCCAATATAGTGATGATGATGTTGCCAACAGACAAATTCCAAAGAGTTGAAAAGGTATTTTGATTATCACCAAATCCAATGGCTTGTAAGATGATCGCGTTGTTCAATCCTATGCCTTTAAAGGGACATATTCAATGCATGTTAACTATTGAAACGCGTACTGTAAATGGCCGTATATAAGATTTGAGTTTGTTACATTCCACCAATTTTATCTAAAACCCCTAATAGACCTCCCAGGTATAACACACAGATGAAAGTTTATGTTGTAAAAAGGAAATTTTAAAGTGTACACACACTTTGCATTTATAATAGACAATTTAGATTGCTTCTAATACCGTACTATATACTATCAAAGATCTTTTATATGACCATTTACATTAAATGCATCGAGATGCAATTCAGTTTAAACTAAAAAAATTACTTACCATAAAATGCTACATCTAATACGAACCACGAGATCGAAGTTCCTAATAAAATTTTACCATTTTCCCATTTACTAAAGTATTCTTTAAAATCCTGAATATACATATAATTAAAATTGTAATTGACTTTTTAAGAGCCTTTTTTATGTAAGATAATTATCTTACCTTCCACGTGGCATTAGGTGTCTCTATGACATAAATAAGTCCCCCTTTTGTGCTCAAAGGACCTTCATGGTTTAATACGGTATCAATATCATGAGTTGCTTTTTCGACATCACCCAAAACATCCATCATAAAACGCGGCGTTTCCGGAATAGTAATCCGGAAGTATAATCCAACAACCGCAGGGATTACACCAAATGCCAATACTACTCGCCATACACCGTCAATATACATAGGATTATTTCTTATGGAATCTTGGTATGCACCCAAAGTTGCCACCGAAACTACACCTGCGGTCAAAATTCCGAATCCTTGCGTGGCAAAGACGGCAGATATCATTGCCTAAATAAAGTAATTGTAAAATTAAAAATTTTTTTTAAAAAAAAATTTGGATATTTGAAAATTAAATTATCAAGCTTCACGTACACCTCTTCTCTTAACCGTTGCAAATTCACTCGTAATAACTTAAAATATTAAAGACAGATGTTAATATCAAGTATGAGATACTTTATAAAAAATTCCGAAAAAAATATATTTACTAGCAGACACAGGATAATCTCCTCCAATTCCAATACCTAATATGAATCGCCAAAACATAATTGAAGCCCAAGTCGTGATCGCAAACGAATTTGAGGACATTGCAGAACCGAAAGTTGCCATGATCATAATTGCAAGTTCCCAACCGTAGACCTTATGGTTAATTAAAATTTAACTAATTAAATGAAAAAATGTGAATGATGCGTATCGATATTTACTTTTTTACGTCCATAGCGATCAGCGAACCAACCAAATGCCAATTGCCCTACTAAAGTTCCACATGCTGCTGACATTTTTAAACCCATATCAATGCTTGCTCGAGCAGTGGCATTATAACCCGTCAATTCGGTATGGGCTAGCATGGCAGCAACAAAATTTATAACAAATAGATCATAAGCATCTGTAAAGAAGCCAATACCAGCTACTATACATGTCCTGATGTGAAACCATCCAAAATCAGCATTGTCTATTTTGTTAAGACTTTTTTGACGTATATTAAGTTCATAAAAGTCATCTACATCAGAGTCCGGTAAGTAAGATAATTTAAGGTCTGTAGACATTTCCGGATTTTGATTTAAGTAAGAATAATTTAAGAATAACTTTACATTTGTTATTAAAAAAAGGAAGGAAATAGAGTTATTAAGATATATAATTGATTTATCTGGATCGAGTAATAATGGCATTTGTTTTGGTCGCACTTGCTCTCGATTATAGTAAATTTATAATTTTATAAAGTTAATGACGAAAAACAACCAATTATTATTATAAATGATAATATAACTTACATTGTAAAAAATGATCTATATGTGTCACGAGGCATAATGTTTCTTTTAATTTATTGAAAGTGCATCAAGGGCAGTACTTAATTTAAAATTCCTCTTGCAAAATTAAATAAGATTTATAATTTTGTTATACAAATACAACCCCTGGTAAAATATACAGTCGTTGAAGTCAAATTTATGCAGTATATATCAGTATATAGATTAAATATATCGAATTTACCCCTCTTTTAGGATCCCAGATATGGTTAGAAGCACAGTAAAAGTCATAATATCGCGGCTAATCTGAAATTTGGACCAGGGTGTTTTTTCTAGGGTTAGGTTAGTGTTCAGGGTTAGATTTTAAGCAAGGCTTATATTTTTAAATCGAAACCCCAAATTTCAACATCCAATTTTAGCATCAGCCGCGACATTTAATATTTTAAATAACCGTTTATTAATTGTATAACCGTTTATTAATCGTATAACCGTTTATTGTGACAGATCATAATGAAATCGGATTAAAATGAAATGAGAGTTTCTATTTAACCCACCTATACTTGTTTATTATAAACTTTATCCTAAAACTAACCTCTAACCCTAACCCCTAACCCTAAAAAATGC